AGGACCCCAAGCTGGCCAGAAGGAAACATGGCGTCTGTCATGATGTGGAGATGTGGTGGTGGTGGTGGTGGGGGGGGGGGGGGGGGGGGGGGGTTAACGAGGGGCAGGTGAGTTCAATCAACACTAACAAGGGAGCCTAGACACCAGAGACAGGGTATACCGAAGCAGGTCCTGACAACTAATATAACGTCCCCCAGAGGCCGCTGCCCTTTGTACTTTAGATACGATTTTTATGGTTATATGTTACGAAGTCGCCAACATTTTTCAACAACTGGACATCATTTTATTTATTTTCAACAACATTTCAATGGATATTTCCAGAGTTAACGGTAAAAATTACACATTTTATCTTTTAAAAAATTAAACTACGCACCCAGCTTTAATTACGCTCTTTTTAACCCAGTATTTACTAGGTGTGCTACAATTCTCTTGTGTATAAAGTATGTATGGGGTGACGGTACCACAGGAGTTAAGTGCTCGCCCCGTAATCAGAAGGTTGCAGGTTCGAGCCCCGCTCAGTTGTTGCTTCCGTTGTGTCCTTGGGTAAGACACTCAACCCAACTTGCCTGCTGGTGGTGGTCGGAGGGACTGGCGGCACCATTGTACGGCAGACTCGCCTCTGTCAGTGCACCCCAGAACAGCTGTGGCTACATTGCACAGTAGCTCATCCCCACCGGGGTGTGAATGAGTGAATGACTGACTGTGTTGTAAAGCACCTTGGGGCATTCCAGGACTCTAGAAGGCGCTATATCAAATACAGGCCATTTTACCATTTACCATGTATTGCCTCAATAACCTTAAAAAAAAAGCCTGCCGTCTCTTCACTGCTGCTTCTCTTCACCTCCATCTGGATTCTTCTCCTCCCATCAGAGCTTGGACCATTGCAGTGTATCTGTAATCCTTCAGTGCTTCTCTTGCACTTCATCATTCACCCGAGATTTGGGAGTGATGGTCTTTTCCCCTCCCCTGGAACACCCGAGCCTTCAATGTCTAGACATCAACCTTTACAGTAAACATTAATTTAACCCTAACCTTTATTGTCCACCTCAGTTGTGTCCAAGAGTTAAAAAGCACGGTCAATTCACTTTGAAATTTAAGCAGCAAATGTTAGACCTTTAGGGCTCGAAATGCAACGGTGGCAATGTTTATAGGTGAAACTCTACAAACAACTTTCTTACTGCTAACTCAAGATGTGCTGTGAAGTTTTTTCACTTGCATGCATGTATGTTTCTCCAGATGCATGTCTTCTTTTTTTGGACTAGAGGAGAAAGTCAAAGCCAAAACTTATAGAATCCATAATTAAAACGCAAGAAGTCAAACGCAGCTGTGCAGAAAGGCACAAACTTCTGGCTTGGAAAACATTCCAAAACCTCAAATCATGGATTATGGAGTGTACAAAAAGGGAAAGGAAAAATAAAACACTGAAAAAGAGGGTTTATCCTTGAGGTTACAGCTTCTATGTAAATGAGCGTGGGCTGGAGGATTACATAAAACACTGACCCCTCAGCTCTGAATGTAAAACCTTACAATTCATCAGCTTTGACACATAAAACACAAACTGCTTCTTCAGTTTCACATGTGATGAATAGCAAATTATTTCTTTCAACTGTTACATCAATTCCCACCGACCATCCCCTGAAATCACCAACCACGTCTGTGAAGTTCTTCAGCGTAAACACTCCAAATAAACTTGTCTCCTCTGGTTTGATGAGCTCCTCCCTTCAGCGATGCTTCTCTCTGAGGAGAGCTATTCATTAGACACACCACCCACATGCATCTCACCGACCCCTCAACCTCACATTAACAATCCCTACAGGCTGTCTTATGTCTGTCTGTGTGTGTGTGCCTACGCTCAGTTTTGGTTTAGGAGGAGGTGACTACTGATGGGTTCCCTCGCTACCCAGACCCTGTTTCCACTTTCTCTTGGAAATTTTTTTTGCAAACCTCAACAAAATTCAGAGCCAGAAGCCTCTGTGGAAGACTCTGAATGATGAATAGCTGGACTCAAACATGCTTTTGGAAAAAGCTGAATGCCACAGTAGCAGGAAAGCACAGACTATGAGTTTTGGAGTGTTATATGTATATATATATATATATATATATATATATATATATATATATATATATATATATATATATGTATATATATATATATATATATATATATATATATATATATATATGTATATATATGTATATATATATATATACATATATATATGTATATATATATATATACATATATATATATATATATATATATATATATATATATATGTGTATATATATATATACGCTAAGAAGGCGCTATACAAATACAAGCCATTTACCATTCTTCATGCAGTCAACTTCCTTGGAATTTCACTGGAAACAAGTGACGATAAGCTGGGACCACAGCAAGAAAGGTAAATGCAGATATGATAAAGAAATAGAAAGACAGATTATCAACCCTGCAAAACCATCAGAGTTTTCATAGATTAGACCCCACTCACTCTGCTGTAATGTTAATTGTCCGTCAGAAACACTTTACACACGCGCTGGGACGTCTTCTTTAAAATACGTTGGTCCACTGCAGGGGGACGGACGGCCCCAGGAAAAGATCTGCAGACACAGTGGAATGTTTCCCAGGTGGAATCGAGTGTTTCAGTGTAAACCACCGGCAGGAAGACGGTTGTAAAACAACCAAACATTTTGTTTGGTCAGCTCAAGATGCTGGGATGGAGACCAAACCTTCTTCTGTGGAATTTTATAACATAAGGACATAAAACTATGGTTTTTATTTATTTATTTATTTTTGTCTGGCAAAGTCAAGAAAGTATCATATTGACTTGGAAGACTTTGTTCATATTTACTGTTTCACTTTTCAGGTCAGAAAAATAATTATTACTCAGTCAACGTAGTCTACAGAACACCTTTGATACAAGTCTTCATTCTCTTGTTGTTTATAGCGATTTTTACAGACTTGTAAACTAAACCACAGTCAAGTGTATTAACTATTAAATGAGCTAGCACTTAATTCAATAAAGCACTTTCACTGTTCATCTTCAGATGTCATTTCCTAAAACATACTCATTATCTAAAATAATGTTCAATTACATTTAGGTCTCCATATAATTTAAAGGTGCATTATGTAGAAATAAAGTAAATATGACATCCTGTGGTAAAATGTGGTTACTGCAACCACTTTAAACAGCTCTGGAGCTTTTTGCTGGCCTTCGTCAAATTACAATCATCCGCGCTGCAGTATTAGCTCGCAGGAGACATGGCAACTCCACGCTCATTGATGGAAAACAGTGGCAACGTCCCTCCTTATGTTTTGGAAGGAGAAAAACTGACAATCCCTGCAGCCAGCTGGATATGAAATATGTTTCAGTTTAACCTTCCTTCCAAAAGGACCCTTTTGGGATTTTCTCACTGTAAAACTGAGAGAATTATTATTCATGTTTTCAATTATCATGTTTTATGCTTTTATTACAATTAAAGATTGTTTCATTTATGCTTTCATTACAATTAAAGAATGTTTCATTTGTCATGTTTTATGCTTAATGACTATACCATTTAAATGCTTAAACAGTTGCTGTTTTGTAAAATTCCCTCATGAGACTTTAAGGGTGTTAAAATCTGACCTAATGTGATCCAAGGATGACCTGAGGAGATCTGCTGTTCTGTCAATTGCTGAATCGTGCAAACTGTTTGCTACTCATCGTGTGATTAGACACTGAAAGTTCTTCGTGTAATAATGAATGCTCTTTGTTTTAAACTTGTAACAATTTAGGACTGAGAGCTGTGTTTCCCCCCTCCCTTTAGATCAGCTCTCAGGCATGTAACCAGGGAAGCTCCAAATTTGTAATAAATAGAGGTGCTCGGATTTCAAAGGCCAGAATGGTTTGGGGAAGCGTCAGCTCAGTGGAGACTGGGTTGGTGTGACTTTATTCCATTCTCCTCGAGCTTAAACAGAATTCTGACTTTTGTGTCTCTTTCCTTGTGTTGTGTTGTTATATGGTGTCTTAGGTGCTTAAACCTGACAAAAACTATCACTATATTCTTACATATTGCACCTTTAAGGTACACTGAACAATTATTTTATAATGTTCCCTAAATTAATAAAGAAGTAGGTCGTTGTGCATTCAAATTCAAAGCTCCAATAGTCTCTTAATCTCTTTAAGGCATCATTATATGATCATATGCAAAATACATGCCCCTGCGTTTGACTATACCCACTCTTAACTGTCACTTAACTTCATTATGCTGAACTGTACTGTACTTGCACGTCACGTTTTATATCTGAACGTCTACAGTTACCGCATTGAAGCATTTAGAGGACAGGGATTTGAGAGAGGGTTAAGATTTGTTGAGCTGTATGAATGTTGTTGTGAATGGGAAGTTTTGTTAAGGGTATTGTTGCTTGTGCAGCTTGGAAACAAGATGATGCTTCTCAGGGGATTATCCTTCAAATATAGAGGATAAAGTATGACTGGAGCAAACTGGTCCTCAGCACTTTAAAAGGTGCAAAACAAACAGAACTGACGTTTCGACAGATTATGTCTTCTTCTTTTACTAAATTTCAAATATCTTTGATTTATTCAAAACTGATGATAAACTTGCAAATCTGTCCCTTAAAAGAATTCTGCATGCTAAATTTAGAGCAATTAAAATTGTTGTAGTCGAACTGGTAAGAAATGTGATGTCACTGCTGAAAAATTCAAACTGAAGGAAATGCTCACATAGGTGTTTTTTCTCACAGATTATTTATTGAAACGGTTAGAATAGATCATAGTGGGTCCTGGCCACGGGTTGTTCCTGTTGTCTCAGAAGGATTACTCTTTCCAGAGTAAATATTTAGTACAAACATTACGTTTTAGTTTCCTTTAGTGGGATCTGTGACAGTACGTCTTTTGATACAATGTCAAAACAGTCTCCATTCCGTAAATATGTTTCCAAATAAATAAAAGCGGGAGTGTTAAAAGATTTTTCCTTTGTGGAATTCATTTATTAGAAAACACTTTTTTAACATTGAAACTTTCACAAAAAAACAACTATGATGTATAATTTTTATAGATATAGCTTTATATGTATGGGGGAGGGGCTCCCTCTATTAAAGCCTCATTCCTCATAAGAAGTAAATTTTTACATAGCAGTGTTTGACATCAGACATTACAGGCTGAGCAGTGTACGCAAACAAGAAAAATACGATCAATTAGGGGTGTACCATTAATATTAACCAACACTGGTTTTAAATTGCAATATCTCTGTCAATTGTTACTTTTTTCATGAGAAAACATTTTCATCCCATGCCCTTCAGCTTCTTCTCCTCACACTCAAAATGCCAAAATATGACAGATCCACGGTTTCTATTTGATATACTTAAGTTTGTTTGGGACAACTGGCCTAACTTAAATCAAAGTAGCTGTCATAGTTTGCACATGATATGACATGGGGTGTTAGTTACCTAAAATTATTATATCATTTTTATTTTGGAAGGCGGGGGATGTGCGTTTGCATTTATTGGTACTGATTTATATCACATCGGAAATTAAGCGTTAGATTTTATCGATCTACTGGAAAATGGTAAAAAAGACAATATCAAACATCCCTAATTAGAATCCCGTTTCTCCGTTTCCACTGAAGAGGGACAGTTTGTCTAAATAGGTGCGAACCTTACAGACCACCAGGCCATAATACGTCTTTAACAGCGAACATCTTCCACCTCGCTGTTGTAGGTGAGTCCAGATCGTTTCTAACTCCTGGCTCCCCATTCTCGCTGAGCCGAACAGATACTTGTAGCAGCAGGCATTATAGTGGATGTGTTTCTCTCCTGGGAACCTGGCACTGTGGGCTGGTGTCACACCAGCTTTCTGAGCACAGAGACCCACAAAAACGTCAGCAGGCACAGGTAAAAGGATGGCTGCAGATGCCACGTACACTTTCCGGACAACATCCTGGGACAGAACATAAGCTGTTCCGTCGCAGTATTCAGGCAGGTGTTTTGGGGGATAGACCGAGGGAGGGAGGTAGCCAGGACTGTTGGAGTCCCTGTTAGGAGAGTCATTTTGGATCACCCTACCTAGATACAGGTCTTCGGGGTGCCTGTGAAGCCCCAACAAGTAGCTTCCAATGGCGGGGAGGTTGACAAACACAGCCTCATTAGTCAGCAGAACAAAACGTGCTAGAGGACAAAATGTGATGATCCAACGAAGAGCCAAGACTGTCCTCTCTCTGGATCCATGGAAGGATGAATCATCTGCAGAACGGCCCTGGACTATATCTCCATAATGCTCAGACTCTCTCAAGAGAACTTCCTGAGTGTCTGAAGTCTGAGATGCTCCTATAAAGAACAGTGTCTTTACCGGACACCCTTGAATTAGTGTTTGGTTTGCCCATGTTCTTCTGACTGCATCTCTCTGAGTGATGTTAGCAGGAGAGCTGAAGACTAGAGTCAGAAGGAGGAGGTCGGGGTTTCTGCAGGCTTCAGGATTGGTGATCGAGTAGGCCTGGGATAGGTTCTCCTTTGCAGCGCTAAGGTCCAGTTTTCTCGCTTTCTCTCTCACACTAACGACCATACCATCCGTGTAAACAATAGGTGTGGGCTGCAGGAGATACTCCTCAACAAAATCTGCCCCAAACAACAAGGCATGGAAAAGCATCACGTTGAAGAAGAGGAAACACCACTGATGGGTGCGCAGCTTGCACAGGAAACACTGGAATTGAATTATTTGAAGAGAGACAGAGAGTATAGGTTAACAAGCTGATATAACTTAATCTACAATTTAGGAGTCAAATATAAAAAACATATCAGTACCTGCATGACAGCTGATGACGTTGGATTGTTGTTCACCTGTGTTCTAAGCTCCAGGTGATGAGTGGACCTGCTTTAGGCTTTACAACAATAACAGGGTTTCTGCTTTCATGACACTCTAGAAGCATGTAACCCTGCACCCCGCACCCAAAGTCAGTCCTCGTTTAGGGGAGTGTTCCGTGCATTGTTCATGCAACTTTAATGATATGTGGAAGGGAGCTGTTTCAAGCCAATACCCCTTCAAATACCAGCAATGAACTACTTTTACTGTGTACTTTTTCAGTTATTGTACTTCAAATTACATACAAAAAGCTCTATGTGCCGTGTTTGAGATAGGATAAAACGGTATTTGGGAAAAAGGACACTAGGCCACCTATACATGCTTACTAAGTACCTCGAGTACTACCTGGTACCAAAGTATGAACTACTTTTACTGTGTACTTTTTCAGTAATTGTACTACAAAATACGTACAAAAAGCCAAAAGTGGAGAGTATGAGATAGGATAAAATGGCATTTTGGAAAAAGGACACTAGGCCACCTATACATGCTTACTAAATGCCTCTAGTACTACCTGGTACCAAAGTATGAACTACTTTTACTGTGAACTTTTTCAGTTACTGTACTTCAAATTACATACAAAACGCTCAATGTGCCGTGTTAGAGATAGGATAAAACAGTATTTGGGAAAAAGGACACTAGGCCACCTATACATGCATACTAAGTACCTCGAGTACTACCTGGTACCAAAGTATGAACTACTTTTACTGTGAACTTTTTCAGTTATTGTACTTCAAATTACGTACAAAAAGCCAAAAGTGGCGAGTTTGAGATAGGATAAAATGGCATTTTGGAAAAAGGACACTAGGCACCCTATACATGCTTACTATGTACCTCTAGTACTACCTGGTACCAAAGTATGAACTACTTTTACTGTGAACATTTTCAGTTATTGTACTTCAAATTACGTACAAAATGCTCAATGTGCCGTGTTACAGATAGGATAAAACAGTATTTGGGAAAAAGGACACTAGGCCACCTATAAATGCATACTAAGTACCTCGAGTACTACCTGATAACAAAGTATGAACTACTTTTACTGTGCACTTTTTCAGTAATTGTACTTCAAAGTATGTCCAAAAAGCTTAGGTGCCATGTTTGAGATAGGATCAAATGAGATTTGGGAAAAAGGACACTAGGCCACCTAAAAATGCATACTAAGTACCTGAGTACTACCTGGTACCAAAATATGAACTACTTTTACTGTGAACCTTTTCAGTTATTGTACTTCAAATTACATTCAAAAAGCTCAATGTGCCGTGTTTGAGATAGGATAAAATGGTATTTGGGAAAAAGGACAGTAGGCCACCTATACAAGCTTACTAAGTACCTCGAGTACTACCTGGTGCCAAAGTATGAACTACTTTTACTGTGTACTTTTTCAGTAATTGTACTTCAAATTACGTACAAAAAGCTCAATGTGCCGTGTTTGAGATAGGATAAAACAGTATTTGGGAAAAAGGACACTAAACCACCTATACATGCTTACTAAGTACATTGGGTACTACCTGGTACCAAAGTATGAACTATGTTTACTGTGTACATTTTCAGTAATTGTACTTCAAAGTATGTCCAAAAAGTGAACGCGTCATGTTTGAGATAGGATAAAATGAGATTTGGGAAAAAGGACACTAGGCCACCTATACATGCATACTACGTACCTGAGTACTACCTGTTACCAAATTATGAACTACTTTTACTGTTTACTGTTTCAGTTATTGTACTTCAAAGTATGTCCAAAAAGCGAACGTGCTGTGTTTGAGATAGGATAAAATGAGATTTGGGAAAAAGGACACTAGGCCACCTATACATGCATACTAAGTACCTGAGTACTACCTGGTACCAAAGTATGAACTACTTTCACAGTGTACTTTTTCAGTAATTGTACTTCAAAGTATGTCCAAAAAGCGAACGTGCCGTGTTTGAGATAGGATAAAACGGTATTTGAGAAAAAGGACACTAGGCCACTTATACATGCATACTAAGTGTAATGTTTCTTGAATTAAGCACGACGTTTCATGTTCTTTGTAAAAGATGTTTATTTCTCTTCTTCACCAGCTGTTTGTCATTGACCTCATCAACACTCTCTACCCTTAAAGAGATAATCTAATACCACCCCCTTGTGCGCAGAGCCATAACAGTTATCACTACATCCCCATTTGTCCCACAAAAAAAACTTTATTTTTTATTTTTTTTATTTTTTTCATGCACTATTAAAGATTCAATCTCTCTGGAGGCTTAATAATGCGAGTTGTCCTTCTGAGTCCACAGGATACAGGCTCAGATTTGGCTCCCTCTGCTGACGAGACGCTGTCCTGCACAGCCATCCCTGCTGACAAACCATGCCGTGCAGTCGGCTCAACAACAAGAGACGAACTATAATCAAAGTCCTGTCCCTGGAGTCTCTTGAGTCTTCAACAAGTCACGACGGTTGCGCCTCAATGTCTGGCCATCTTCAGTCCTGACCACATAGGATCTAGGACCAACTTCCCCCATAACAGCAGCTCTCCTACTCCAGTGATTGGAATCCTCAACTCTCACTGTATCATTCTGGACCAGCGGCTCCAGTGATCTGGTTGACCTGTCTTAATTCCTCTTCTGTCTCATTTGCAGATATTTTCTTCGGAACCCCAGATCCCGGGGTACCCCATGAGGGACACTGAATGGGAGAGTGGTCCTCAATCTTCGTCGCATCAGAAGCTCAGCAGGGGACACACCATGTTCAAGTGGTGAGGCTCTATAACTCAACAGAGCCAAATGGGGGTCAGCATGGCTGTCTTTTGCCTTCCTGAGAAGATGTTTCACGATCTGGACCCCCTTTTCAGCCTTCCCATTGGACTGAGGAAACAGTGGGCTCGAGGTGATATGTAGGAAATCATAATCCACAGCAAACTTATGAAACTCTTGGCAGCTGTAACATGGTCCATTGTCACTGTAAACAACATGAGGGATCCCCTGTCGGGCAAAAATTGATTACGATTGTGAAATCACAATAACAGCAGAAATATTGCGGAGGACCACTACTTCCGGATAATTGGAATAATAGTCAATAATAGTCAATCACTAACAAGTACTACCGGGTAAAAAAATATGAACTGCTTTTACTGTGCACTTTTTCATTAATTGTACTACAAAGTACGTACAAAAAGCCAAAAATGGCGAGTTTGAGATAGGATAAAATGGCATTTTGGAAAAAGGACACTAGGCCACCTATACGTCCATTTTGGAGCAGTCCGGGGGGACGGTGAACTCTGAATGACCTATAAAATAAAGTTTAATATCTCAGAAACCATAGCAGCACAAACGTCAATTTTACCTGCACAAATCAGCACAAACAAAGCACTAACCAAGCAGCCTATTTGCCTGCAATTTTGAAGCTGACAGGGGGTCAGCTTCATAGAGCTTGAGATTGGAGGTGTGGCGTGAGAGCGTGTGAAGAGGGTCAAATGCGTGAGTTGGCAGCCCATACGTGCTTATGCGCAATACGTCCGAAAGCGCAAGTCATTTGCATGTACATTTACATCAGTAACTAGAACAAAGGGCCACATTTCTACGCCTTTGTGGCGTCACTAAACTTAAGCAATATATAGGTCAGATCTGTCAGACTAAAGTCTCGTTTAGAGCAGTCACTTTTACTTCTGCTGAAACCTAATTTTTAGAGATCAACATGTCTCAAAGAAAGCCTGTAGATGAGACTCCAGGCAAATCTCGTAGACTTTATTTTTCAGAAAGAGGAAATGATCGTCTCTCTTCATCTGAACAACATGCTAAAATTAGAAAGTTTTCCAAAAATTAGACCACCAGTTTCAAGCAGAAAAAAAATCTCAGAATCATTGTTTTCAACAGAGACTGAGCCAAGCGCGGGCACAGACATGACATGTTTTTGGACAGTAGAAATTATCGACCGTGTGTGTGTGGACAGCCAAGCACCTCGGGTACCAGTAGGGTAATACATCGTTTACTTTCATCCAACACATTCTCACTCCCAGCGCGTCAAAAAATAAAAAATAAAAAAACGCTTGGTCAGCCACCCTCCACGTCATACCCCTGACGCCAAAAGTGCCCTTTTTCGTCACTTATGTGTGTAACGTGAGGAAATATGGGTTTTCTGTGCCAAAGGTTTCATTTGGCCCGGCTGGGTCAAAGCTGGGTCGCTCAGAACTTTCACACACAGATTGAGACCTTTGCCGACATGAAGTCTGCAAGAGTCTGCTGCAAACCATAACATTTGCCACCTGCAGTGCCAGAAGATGGTGTTCTCATGGAAGCTGGTCATAACATAACAAAGTCTTAAACTTCCTTTCCTTTATTTTAAATGTTAAATAATCATTATTATCATTTTGCTCATGATAAAGGTGTTTTAATCAAATGAATGATTATTATGCTTTGGGTAATCATAATGACCTATAATGAATCAATACTTAATTAAATAATGTTTGAAGATGTTTGGTAACGAACTTCACGCACACTCAAACACTCACACACACACACACACACACACTCTCACAGTAAACTCCAAAACACATTTGCTCTGACGCACAAGTTTTGCTTTGGGAGGAGAAGTGGTTTTTGGTAAGTTTCAGTTCATGTTGTTCAGTTCGTGTTGGTCAACGAGAGAGAGAGAGGACGTGTGAACAACCGCTAACGGGGGAACGGAGCCCACCGGCTCCTTTCTCCCCCCCCTCACGCTATTCCTGCCAAGCCAGACAGGATAGCCGAATTGCAACTAGCTAACGCAGACTCGTCCAGTCTTTTGATTTCTGAATAATTTAAACTTAAGAAAGCGCATCTGCAAACGCTTTATCATCACGTGTACCGAGGGCAACTCTGGACCGGGTCGCCAGCACACCTCTGTCTCCTCTGCCAGCCAAGGTGTCATCTGGAGTACCACCCTCCTGGGTCCCGGATCTAAAAGAGGGTCCGAATACGGTGAGGCAGTCCACGACAGATAGCGTTTGATGCATCTTTTCCAACGAAACCTACGTTTATTCAAACCATCACTTTTCACTCAGACACCTGTTTCTTCCTGAAGCAAAATCAGACGCACACACGCATTCATCTCACCTCATTCTCAATTTTCACACATTCAACACAAGGTCTATTTGAGCAAATTTAAAATATCAACTGTTAAAGATTGTTCAACAAAGTTGCCAATGTTGATTGTTGTTCCTATGCTTGTCATTTCAAAATCATTAGTTAATTTGAAGAATTAAAACTTTTAACTTTCAAACTTGTCTCTTCATTGAACTGAAACACAGACACACGGATATGATTGTCAGTTTATCGATGAAAACAACCTTTGAGTCTTCTTAATTCTATAAAATTTGGTTATTAATTCATTACAAATTAATATCACAAATTAAAATGTAGAATGGTTCCTCTTTCATAAAAGAGCATAAACCATTACACTACATGTGCGAAAAAGAGTTTTTCCCTTTTCTTACTGCAGATCCCAATGCAGCGTAAAACTGACGCAATGGGATGTTCGCAGCCAGGGCACCAAACAAGCTCATTGTACCTCACCCTAACCTTATCCTCTTGTTATTTCACCTTCCCCTCACCCCTATCCTAACCTTAACCATCTTGCTAGCGAACACGTTAGTGATGTGTCGGTTGCTCTAAAAGACGGCTCTATGAAGTGAATGGTGGGAGCCGTCTCGTCATTGGTCGGGTATGGACCGAGGCAACGCGAGGGGTAGGTTTCAACTACCAAGGTGGACGTTAAAAGTAGAGGGTATTTGTTACCTCCCCCTTGCCAGATGGTATGTTCCAACGTTCCCCTTGGGTGGCAAATATGAAAATTCAGTCAGAATGCATGGGAAACAAACGCTTAATCACAGTGAGAATAACGTTTTAGGTAGCAAGAGGGTTAAGGTTAGGAAGAGGGTGAGGGGAAGGTTATAAATAATAAAACGTTAAGGTTTAGGTGCGGTTAAATGAGCTTGTTTGGTGCCCTGGCTGCGGACATCCCATCGCGTCAATTTCACGCTGCATTGGGATCTGCAGTCAGAAAAGGGAAAAATCCCATTTCGCACATAAGTGATGAAAAAGGGCACTTTTGGCGTCAAGGGTCTAACGCGGAGGGTGACAACAGCAACCCAAAAAAAGAAGGGTACCTTATTTGTGAACTCAGAGAGGTAGATTACAAACAATCCTTTCTGGGATCTAGCATTTGCCATACAGGATGACCTAGATGCAATCCAGCTGCAAAAAAGGTCAGATTTAGCAAAAAGAGAAACCTCTGCTGCTGAATCGGACCAACATAACAACCCGATTGCTTTCGAGCTGCAGAAAGACGACATTCCTTTTGCAATCTATGGCTTCAGAATCTGAGCAAGAGGTCATTGAGTGCCACGAGAAAAGACAGGACACACTCCTGGGTTCAATATTTGAAGTCCAGACTCCACATGAGGAACCAACACATTCTCACTCCCAGCGCGTCAAAAATAAACGCTTGGTCAGCCACCCTCCGCGTCAGACCCTTGATGCCAAAAGTGCCCATTTTCGTCACTTCTGTGCAAAAAGGGGTTTTTCCCTTTTCTGCCTGCAGATCCTAAGGCCGGGGACACACCGGCTGCTGAAGCGTCGCGAAGCGCCGGGAGGCGAAGCGCTCATGAAATTCGGCTGCTGCTCGCTGCTCCTCAGTTCAGACCAGATGCTTGTTTCTCCGTTCCGGTCGAGGTGCGCCTCGTAGTTTTTCTTTTAACCACTTGGTGCCCTCCATTTCCTCTGCCTTTTCTCTGCTCTTTTCCTCTACAGCCCCCTCTCCCTTGCTGTTTGTGTGTGTGTGTTTGTACGTGTGTGTGTGAACCTATGGTGTGAACCAGTTGTTTAGCCTAGTGAACTAGACCAAATTCTTGCTTTGCAAAGAATGGTCTAGGCATGCTCCATTGGAACCTCAGCAGCTCCTACCAGGACTCTGGGTAGCCAATCACAGCTCTCTAGAGGGGTTTCAAACACACAAAGAGCTGTGATTGGTCCATAATGGTGGGCCAATCATAGTGCTCTATCTGCTTAGTGAACAAATCACAGAGCTTTATCTGCTTTGTGGGCCAATCAGGGCACTCTATATGCCTGGTGGGTGGGATGATGCAACAGAGTGAAACAAGAGTATGTCACATTCATTGTCCAGTGGAATGCGGAGATCATTTGAAACACAACGGTAGAACCCGCCCCACAACCGAGAGCCGTCAATGGAGCGTGGCCAGACTAAATAATACATTTATTTAGTCTGGCTTGCCAGGCTACCAGTTGTTCATAGCTGGCCTAAGACTTTCTGCCTCTCTGTCCTGTTTGCTCCGGTTGAAAGACACCCAAAACCACACCC